GTCCAGATTCAGCCACTGTTGAAACTGATCAGTTTCAGCAGCGGCTGAATCTGGACGCCAGTTCCGACTTACATACAGATTCAACTTAAGAACAAACCTACAGTCCCTATCTTGTACGTAACCCGGGGACTGCCTGTATAGCGAAAACTTTGGTATCCGGCACTTTGTTAACCAGCATTGCCCCCAGCAACAATACTATCACATCTTCAGGCATACAGGCCTGGCTTGGCTTATCATGATTGACTTAAAGATTAGTGCTACTTAAATAAAAAATTAACTCAAAATTGAAATGTGAGACCAACTGCCTCACACTACAAAACTACCTATATTAAAAACTCGAGTTTTACCATTATTGTCCATTGGTTTTTCCTAGGTTGATGGGACCCTCAGATAAATGCAATTTTTAGATAAACGGAACGCTATAATCCCCGAGCGTGACGGATAACACAGGTTTTACTGTAGATGCAGGGTGGACACTCCACCGCTGCTAGTTCGAAATAGCTCCTCAGCAGGGCCATTCTCCAGTGCTTCCTGGGGCTCTAAACCAAGATAGTGCGTCCACATTAGGAGAACCTGCTACGGACTAATTCTGAGGCTTCCCTGTAGCGTGGATGCTCTAGTTCAAAATAAGCTATTTTGGAATACATCTTCCGGAATAGCTTATTCCGAAATAAGCATGCAGTGTAGATGTACCCATAGGAAGAAACCTCAATAAGCCCTCTGGCATGACTGTCACAGCTCCAGAACTTCTTCATAAAGTTGTGAGACAGTGTGATCAAGAAAGAGCATAGGGACAATATAAAATACTTGGGTCCAATTCTTACCATGCTACATATGAGTAACTACCATTGATTTCAACGGGTCCTGCAGCACATTGGTGAATGAGGCCCTTGTACGTGTTTCCAGAAATTTTAGAAGCCTCAGGCAGAGCCAGTGCTGTGTGCTTTGTCTCTCACCAACACTAAAGGCTCTCACTAGAGGTCAATGGCAATAATGCCAAGGCAGAAGCAGACTCACAGGCCGTGTCTAGACTGGCCAGTTTTTCAGGAAAATCAGCCGCTTTTCCGGAAAAACTTGCCAGATGTCTACACTGGCCGCTTGAATTTCCGCAAAAGCACTGACTTCCTACTGTAAGAAATCAGTGCTTTTTGCGGAGATACTATGCTGCTCCCGTTCGGGCAAAAGTCCTTTTGCGCAAAAGTTTTGCGCAAAAGGGCCAGTGTAGAAAGCTGAGATTTGTTTTGCGCAAAAAAAGCCCCGATTGCAAAAATGGCAATTGTTTTTGCACAAAAGCACGTCTAGATTGGCCACGGACGCTTTTCCGCAAAAAGTGTTTTTGCGGAAAAGCGTCCGTGCCAATCTAGATGCTTTTTTCCGCAAATGCTTTTAACGGAAAACTTTTCCGTTAAAAGCATTTCCGGAAAATCATGCCAGTCTAGATGTAGCCACAGGGTGCTTGATAAGTTGTTCTGTCAAATCTTCGGAGGATGGCTAGCTGGTCTTGAAGCCCACAGGAATAACTGATGGCTTTCCCCACTGACATGCCATCTTGGTTTAGGATTCCCTGAAGCAAGCTAAACAGGGCTCCTATATTTAGCACCACTGTGATTGTGATGCAGCTGCCAGATCCCTGCCTAGCCCTTAATTTGCAGCCAGTAGATATAAGGGAATTGGTTGGAAGTGGAGGGAAGAGCCTCATTTCAATGGCTACACTTCCATTGGGGTTGTGGTGCCATGCCTTGTGTCCACCCAACTTCCCATCCCTTCTGCCCTCTTTGAGCTCAGGACATATGATCCACCTCTGCCATATGGCTGCTATAGCTCTTTGCACTGGATGCAACTGTGTCACCATCTTGCTCCATGCTGTTATGGATCCCATTGATGCAGCAGCAGAACCCACCATGCCAATGGCAGGGTTAAGCCTGTACTGACATGGGACAAAGACCAACCAGAAAACTGGAAGTGAAAGACCCTTTTCCACTACCACTCCCCAAGCTACCCAAATTACCCACACATTCATTAAGGCAGGAGGATTTATTTGGTGGTTCTTACTGCCTAGCAGCAGTTCCAACAGCATGATCAAAAACTGAGAGAGAATTCTGATTCACAGTCCTGGCATGAGGGGTTTTAGCTCATGTAGCATTTAGAAACAACACCAATCAGTGAAAGCACACCAAAGCACGCTTGAAACAATTTTAGTTCTGATGCCAGAGCACAGGCTCTCTATACAGACTCTTTTTTTTTTAAATGACTTGTTTACTTTTGCTATTTGTAACCATTTCATTAAAAAAAAATCTTAAAGCCATTATTTGTAATAAATTGATAAGTCAGCATACTTTTTTCTTTTAATCATTGCTTTAAACAAGGTAAACTTATCTGTCCCTGTCCTGCTCCTGGGGCTGCCCCCACTCCTGAAGCCGGGATTCCTGGGGCAAGGACAGCCGTACTGTGGCCCTGGTCCCAGAAGCAGACACCACAGCTCTGGCTCCAGCTCCAGCAGCTGCCATGCGGCCCACCCTGGCCACAGCTCCAGCCCTGGGGAATGGCTACTGGGGATAGGGCCATGTGGTGGATGCCCAGCTGCTCCCAGTGCAGGGCTGCATGGCAGGAGGCTGCTCTGTGTGCCAGGGCTGGAGCTAGGGCTGTAGTGCAGCCGCTCCTGGGGCCCCGGTTCCAGTTCCGGCAGCTGCCATGCAGCGCACCCTGGATGCAGCTTCAGCCCCGGGGAAGGGCTGAAGCTGGGGGGCAGAACCACGTGCGCCACATGGCAGACGGCTGCCCCACGTGTCAGGGTTGGAGCCAGTGTTGCAGTGTGGCTATCCCAGATCCTGCAAAGGCCGCACTGCAGCCCCAGCCAAAGGAGCAGTCACTAAGCAACTTCAGCTCTGGCAGCCGTCATGCGGCCCGCCCTAACCACAGCTCCAGCCCTGGGGAAAGGCTGAAGCTGGGGCAGGGCCACGTGGTGGCTAACCAGCTGTTCCCAGGGGCAGGGCTGTGTGGCAGGCAGCTGCTCTGTGTGTCAGGGCTGGAGCCAGGCCTGCAGTGCGGTTATCCATGCTCCTGGGACAGTCAAGCCACAGCCCCGGCCCCAGGAGCAGCCA